TAACATAATAATAAAAATAAATAAATAAATAGGAGAAAAAAGAAAATGAGCTTGTATGAAACAATATAAAAAATAAATAAATCTAAATCCTGGACCTGGAAACATTTTTGCTGCAGCAGCAGCACCTGGGAACCTGGTGGGTGTGCTGAGTCTTAGACCCCACCACAGAACTCCTGGATCCAAATCTGCATTTTAATGAGACCCCCAGGTGATTTGTACTCACGGCAGAACTCAGGAAGCACTGACCTAGAAAGTATGCCTATAATTATTGAACCAAGCTTTCCACTTGGAAGGTATAGAAGACTTGAGGGTGGTCTCATAAAATGGAACTGGTGAGTAAAGTAAAACCCTTCTCCCCCAGAAACTGTTTCAGAAGGTTCAGGATTGGGCCAGCATAACATTAAGAGTGCATGTTCCGGGGTCAGACTGCTTGGCTGGAATCCTAGTTCTTCTGAGGAGTCATAGATATGACCTTCTTCAAGCCAGTATCTTTATGCTGCTCTTTTCCCATTTGCAACTGGGCTAACACCAGTTACTCTGAAGTTCTCCCTGCTTTTAAGTTTTCACAATTCAGGGAGATTCATCTACTTTTCAAATTTAGCTCAGTGCCTGACACATGCATAATGCTGAATAATTACTATTATTCTTTAAGAGTCTCCCAAGCATACAAATGATCAGTATAGACTCAGATAATGTTCTCTTTCTGTATGGACTTAGCATGATTCGCTTCTGAATCTGGAATACAGAGCATTTTAGAGACTTGCCTTCTCTCCTCTGGCATCTGTAGCTCCATTAGCCCGTGGTGGAAATGGGAGCGAGGCAATGGGGGGCACAGATCCACCTACTCCCTGATCTGGAGAAACCGATCTGGCAAGCAACTTCGCCGTTTAGTCCCATGTCCGAAATACGCACTCTGTGTCCACCCTACAGCCTCTAGCCCAAGTATCGCTAATTCCCCCGAATATGACAAAGCAGAGTTTTGGTCTACTCAGTTGCACGCTTACGCCAGGACAGATGCAGCAGTTCAAGCTCCTCATGGTGAAAACCAAGTTCTCCGATTATTTTCTCATTACAGAAAATCCACAGGGACATACCAGCCGTATAAATGCCCTTCTGTGATAAGTGAATAGATACAGCCTATAAAATCTCGGCGGCGACGCAAGTGACACCTGCTGCCTGCCACACGCCCAATTAAACGGAGAAAAGGCCAAAGGTGAGACAGTCCAGAGATAAAACAGGAAGGAGAGAGAGCCGATGTGCTTATGGAGGAGAAAGGCCCACCCAGCCCTTCCTTACCTTCCCGGAGCAGGAGTGCCTGCTCCACGCTGCTGTTGGGGGCGGCCAGATCCAGCGCGCTTTTGCCCCCGGCGTTCCTGCGCTTTAGGGGAGCCCCGTAGTCGGCTAGCAGGTGGATGACTTCCACGCTGGACTGCCTCGCCGCCGCATGCAGGGGAGTGTCCAGACGTTGCCCGCGGTCCACACTGGCTCCTGAAGAAAGCAGATGACCACAAGCCAACGCGAAACGTTACCGTGGAAATACCAGGAGCTGCAAATACAGTAGCTGGAGATATCTGCAAAGGTATCTGCAATGTCATGACGTGCTTGACAGATCTGTGGAAATACACGACTTAAGCCCAGAACCTCAGCAATGGCTACTCAGACCGCCACAAACTATTTTGATGAGACAAGTGAAGAAAGATATATTTAGTCATTTAAAATACGTTACTTGCTTTCCCGTATGAACTGTGTGATGAACAAAATTAAATATTTGCAGCTCCTTTTACTCAGAATTATTATTTTGGTTTTTGGCAAAGGGGAAAGTGAAGTTTCTTTAGCATTTCTCTTATTCTGGGCTCAAAAAAAAAAAAGGTTTCTGAACTACTACAGGGAGTAGTAAATGATGGGGGATGAAAAAGAAAAAAAATCTTAGAGATAAAAATTCCGATTTAAAGATTCATAGTATAGACTCTACCTTTATGTCAGTAGCTATGTTTGGGGAACCTTTAACCAAATAATAGTTCATGACATTCTACTTTTCCCTGGACTCCCAGTTTCTGTTATGCCTTTTAGAACTAAGAAGGTTACTAAGGGGGCACCCGGGTGACTCAGTCGGTTAAGGATCCGACTCTTGATTTTGGCTCAGGTCATGATCTCAGGGTCATGGGATCGAGTCCGGCGTTGGGCTCCATGCTCAGAGGAGAGTCTGCTTGAGATTCTCTCTCTCTCCCTCTTCCTCTGCCCCTCCCCTCACCTCTCTCTCTCTCAAATAAATTTTAAAATCTTTTTTAAAAAATAATAAAAAATAAAAAGGTTACGAAGGATCTTAGCAGGACTGATCTAAAGGAGTCTATGGCAAATGTCTGTTATTTTTGCTATTGGGCATGTACCTGATAACCACACCTAGATTTCCCTCTGGGGAACCATCCCCTGTGGTTCCCAGTTCATGTGTTTCCAGTGAAGCCCAACAACTTCAGTGCAGACTGAAATCTAGGCCTAAGCCAATCAGTGCATTGTACTCCTCTGGCCACTATGATTGGCTCAGAGATGGGCATATGACTCAAAAAGAGCCAATGAAATAAAATTGTTTTTTTTCCCACTAGCACTTATGGGAAAGAGACTCTTGCTGTCTCTTGAAACCACCAGGGAGAACCATACCAGGTAAATGGAGCTGATATCAAAGGAAGTAAACATTCATTTCTCTGGAAAAGTTCTGTTTCAAGCATTCAAACATCAAATACTGTCAGAATTTTGTCCAGCCTGACAAGAACTTTGTCTTTAGTTTTTTTTTTAAAGATTTTACTTATTTATTCATAAGAGACAGAGAGAGAGGCAGAGGGAGAAGCAGGCTCCCCACTGAGCAGGGAGCCTGACGCGGGACTGATCCCAGGACTTTGGGATCGTGACCTGAGCCGAAGGCAGACGCTTAGTCATCTGAGCCACCCAGGCGCCCAAGAACTTTGTCTTTAAAGCCATAGAAAACCAACAAAGTTAATAGGTTCCTCTCATAAAGATTTCTGGAAGTTACCTAATTCTAGAAGTTTCTTCACACAGTCTACCCTCTGGTAGGTGCAGGCCACATACAGGGGAGTTCCAAGTTGAGGCAGTTCTTGGTCAATGTTAACGTTATTTGCCAGCAGGATCTCCATGCACTCTCTATGACCTGGTGGGAAAAAAAAGATAACCTTACTCAAGTAAGGGAAATATTGACTATTTATAGAACTATAGAATTGCTTATCTGGAATGGGCTTTAGAAATAACCTAGATTTTTTTTTTAGGCAGAAAAAAATTGGGGGGGTTGGGGGGAGAGAAATCTTAGAAAACTCCAAAATCAAAACCATTAAAAAGAAAAGCATGCCCATACTTCCCCACTTAAATTCCCCTTTGCAGCCCTTGAGGTACTTCCAACTAGACTAAGGGCTCCAAGGAGCACAGCTGAAATCACTCTTTACAGTGAAGCCACCAGTTTATAAATAGAGGCTGCAAGATGCAGAGGGGTGAACGACTCATCCTATTATTACCCTGAAAAGCCAGCGCTCAAATGCAAGGCCCAGCCCTGATCCCTCTCCACTACAAATCTCTCATTCTCTTCTTCATCCATGTATGGTCTCACCTCCTTATTTTGGTTAACCTGGAAGACACCTCTGAGAATAAAAAGCCTCGAATATAGAATATATTGAACTGCACTTTCAAATCCTCAAACATAGGATATATTTAACTGCACTTTCAAATTCAGTGGCTAACAAGATGTAGACAAGCATTGTTCTTGGAGAGGCTGCCCAATGAATAGACTTGATTAATTTGCAGCATACGAATGATTTGATCAGGACCAAATACTTCTGAGGAATTGATGGGAGTTTATAAAGAGTCTGTTCTCTTTGAAGATTTAAGTGTTTTCTTAAAAAAAATCTTACCGTCACTTCACTAATCTTTTTTTGTAAGATAACATAAAAGCAAGCTTCTTCTCAAACCTGGTTGATTTATCACAAATGCTCAATTAAGTAAAAATATGCATTAAAATGTACAAATGAGGATCCTATGGATCCAAACTATTTGTTCACATAAGTAAATATTATACTGGGATTATAGCATCCATATGTCAAAGCATGGACTCAGACTGACCTACTCTATTGGGAGAGGTTTAAAAAATCCAGAAAAAATATCTAGTCAGTACCTAAAACTGCCCGGTAGATACAGAGTATCTAATAAACATTTTTAAATAATTCCTGTCCTTTTAATTTTTTTTCTTTTTCTTTGCAGAAGAAACTGAGCCTGGTCTCAGTTAAATTTAAGTACTCACAGGAAGTTTTACAAAATTAATATATGAATGATTAGCACTAATATAACAGCATCTAAAATAATGAATTTGCTATTTATTCTTCCATTCTGTGGATGTTGGTCCCTAACATGCTTGTAGATACAGAAAAAAAATACATAGACACATGAATTGATGTGTTTGATAAGCATGTATATATTTTGTAGGCACATAGATACCAAACACTCCAATATAAAACCATCCAAGTATTGCAGAATTACTTCAGTAATTCAAACCATTCCCAATATTTATCCATTTTTAAATGTTTGGATGGAAATGCAACAAACAGATGAACTTTTACTTCAAATCAACCTTAAAAAAAGTTTTTAAAGACTTTTAGATCATTTCCAAAGTAGACCATTTCCCTTCAACTTAAAGGATGTACTTGGAGTTTGGAAAATGACCAGCATCAGTTATTAATCAATAAATGTTTATTAAATATGTATAAGACATCAAAACCATAGATATATTGAGATTTGGGTCTTTTGTTTCATTTAAAGTAATCCACAAACGGAAAAAAAAAAACCCAGACTCAAATACAGAGAACAAACTGCCAGTTGCCAGAGGGGGGGGAAACAGGCAATGGGGATGAAGAGTACACTTGGGATGAGCACCGGGTGATGTACGGAAGTGTGGAATCACTGCTTTGTACACCTGAAACCAATATAGTACTGTGCGGTAATTATACTTAAACTGTTAAAACATGGGGAAAAAAATAAAAGCACAGGAAAAAAAATAATCTGCTGCAAAAAAAAAAAAATTACCAAGTGACAATGTTTATTAACCCAGTGCAAATCTTTCATTATTGCCTTTGGAAATAAAGACTTGCATCCCCAATTAGACCAGCAAAGATCACTGTTCTAAAGTGTTCTAACTTCCCCATTTTATTTCTTATCTCAATATAAGAGAATAATTCCACCGAGTAAACAGAAATGTTGCTCTATCGGTGTGACCTTTGACAAATGGCCTTGGCCTTTCAGTGACATCTTGTTCATGTCTAGCCGATGCATAGAGCTTTTAAAGACCTTCACTTTACTCTCTTCCCTCATTTCAAAAGTAACTGAGAATACAGGAGGCTAGAATCAACTTCAAGGTTTCTAATGCCATGCTTTTTAAAGTTGCAACTTTTTGCAATAACTAATGACCTTGAAGTCAGCAGCTCATCTCAAAAGAGTATATTGCTTGCCGTGGGCAGTTACATTTAATCTTCCATTAGGGTTCCTATCAGCCTTGGCTTTCAGACGCTTTCATAATTTATTTTAGTGGCTGATGTTTTATGGGCTTTGGGAGCAGAGCTGTTCTTTTCTAGTAAAGACAGAGACATAAGCAAAAAGTACGACTCATGGAAGTCACCCCCGCAGGCTTGACCCGGCTAGCTGCCCCAAAACACCAGCAAAGAGCTTCGAGAAAGGGCTGCCGAGAGACTGACTCCCTAGGAAATTCGACACCTGAGACAGAAAGCCGTTTCCAGGGCCCAAGAAGGGCGGTTGCATGCCCCACCGGTATTTCCTGAAGATTCAGGCGCTCTGAAGTTGCAGCTCTGGGATTCTAAGCAACACACAGCCTACCAGTGAAGGTCTGGGTGTTCCTTACACGGTGACCCCTGCACCGCTGACTCGTGCAGATCGGAGTGAGCCCACCAATGCAGCATGAGCAATGGGATGGCCCCGTTACCTCTCTTGACTGCCTCGTGGATGGGTGAAGCCAAGTGCGCCTCCGGCTGGGCCTTGGCTCCAAACTCCAGCAGCACGTTGACACACGCAGCACTGCCGCTCCGGCACGCATTGAACAGGGGCGTGGCCCCGTGAACCGTCACTCCATTGACCTAATGGTGAGCAAAGAGACCCAGAGGATTTGCCATTTTTCTCTCACCGTTTCCAAGCGTGTACTCCTGTGCATCTGCCTGGAGGAATTTCCCAGGCCGGTGAATGAGCAAGGGAACGCTACATCATTACACTTAATTACGTTTTTTAGATACCAGTAGCCTGTCAAGTCTTACCTATAAGTAATATCGCAAGTGGGGCAAAATGGGAGAAAGCTTTTCAAATGTATTCATGGGTATTCCAGAGCCTCTTAGGAGCCTCCTAATTATTGAGGGATTGTCCTACTTGGTGGTTAAGAACATGGCTTCTGGAATCATTAGCTTGGTTGGGTTCAAATCCCAGCGCCCTCTCTTCTATCTGTTCAGCGATCTTGGTCAGAATACTAACTTTTTGTGCCTCAGTTTCCTTAAATGAGGATCATAAAAGAATCTACCTCATGAGGTTATTGGGTGGATCAAGTGAGTTGCTACATGTTAAACACTTAGAACATTGCCTGGTGCCCAGTAAGCATTTAAGCATTTGCAACAACAATTATTTTCACTTTCCATTAATAAGGATCTGACTCCCGTTCCCAATCATGAACAAACATGGCAGGAACCAAAAATGCTGGAGAAACCAGGTCCCCAAATCTGTGCTTGCAAAAAAAAAAAAAAGTCTCCTCAGCAATCCCCACCCCCCCAGTTCTGTCTTTCTTGCCACAAATTTCCTTGCTGGTCTACTATAATCCATGCAGACCGCATGTGCCAGCAGTGACTCCCAAAGAGATCGTGATCAAGCCAAACGCACAAAGAAAATAGCCATCAACATGGTGTCTCCAACCACCCTTGCTGCCTTCCAAGGATGTGGGAGGCATCTTTGAGTATTAGCAATAGATTGGAATGAACATCAGGGAACCAAGGCATTCGGGTGGAGAGCCTCTGACAGGATTGAAATGGAGGACAATGAAGGCTTGATGTCAAGCCATTTGCCTTAACAACTGAGGATATATGCTTGTGATAATCAGGATCCTAAATTTTCTTGTTTCAGAAACCAAAAAAAGGGGGCGCCTGGGTGGCTCAGTCGGTTAAGCGTCTGATTTAGGCTCAGGTCGTGATCTCAGGGTCTTGAGATCAAGCCCAGTGTATGGCTCCCTGCTCAGCCAGGAGTCTGCTTGTCCCTCTCCCTCTGCCCCTCCCCCCGTTCATTCTCTCTCTCTCTCTAATAAATAAATAAAATCTTAAAAAAAAAAAAAAGAAACAACGAAAGATATTTCTCCACAGTGCCAGGATAGCCCCTGTTAAATTGGAAAGTTAAAGAGGAGATGCTAAGGCAGCAGAGACAGACAAGGACAGGGCAAAATGTGTGTGAATTCATATAGTCTAGCGATTTCTAACCTGTTTACATTTTTCCTGAAAAAGATTTGGTGGGGCTGGTTTCATTTGATTTGTTTTTACTGAGAATCATCCTCATCCTCAGTCCCAAAGCCTTCAAATTTGATTTCCTAAGTTTCTCAGCAAACATTTATTCAGCACCTATTAGGCGCCAGTGTTTCAGAAGCAAAGGCACGGAAGAAAATTGCCTCTCCAGGATCGGTTGAATTCTATCAGGGAAGACCCACACGGACAGAGATGATTTTGATACAGTAATGGGAGCTTTAGATCACTCTAGGAGCAAGACAAAAGAGAGTAGCGACTTGAGAAGTATTTCGGAAGTAAAATGAGCAGGCTGTGGGGATTAGTTAGCAGGGGAGAGGGAAGATCCAGGCTGAGCCCAGGTTTGGAAGGTGGGAAAGCGGGGCTGTGTCTCGCCCAGTCTTGGAGACTGGGCGGGCCAGAGGAGGGCCGGTCCCCGAGGGAAGAACATCCTAAGCACAGTTCCAGATGCACTGAATTTGAGGCACCCAGAGGGCTGCCAATTGTGAGGAATTTTCTACTGATGGACCAACGTTCTTTGATTCTTTCTCTCCTTCTGATTTAAATGTTAAATAATACAATATTTATCAACTCTTCCCTCAGAAGATTGCCAAAACCAAGGGACCATGTCTTACTCTTTTCTTTGTCCTCCACAAAACCTCCCAGCATTGTACCAGCACACACTCCTCTACAACCCGATGTTGTTTGCTCTTTTCCACCAACAGAAGGAAAGGGCCCTCTGGGGCACCCGGCTGGTGCAGTCGGTTAAGCATCCGACTCTTGGTTTGGGCTCACGTCATGGTCTCAGGGTCATGAGATCGAGCCCCGCATTGCACTCATTGCAGAGTCGGCTTGGATTTCTTTCTCTCCCTCTCCCTCTGCCCCTCCCCCCACCTAAAATAAATAGATAAATCAATAAATAAATCTTTTAAAAAAAGGAAATGGCCCACACCCAACCTCACCCTCATCATTACACGTGAATTGACTAAGTGGTAACCTAATAAAAATACACGACCACTATGGTATCAGGAACATTGATTGCTTTGCCCAAGAAAGACTTTCATATTCAGTTCTACATGTAGAAACCCAACTTCCACATAAAATGCTAAGAAAATCTCTCGTAAGCACTTAAAAACATTGCAGCTCATGAAACAAAGAACACAGGGACTGAATTTAAAAACCAAAATTAGCGGGGCGCCTGGGTGGCTCAGTTGGTTAAGCGTCTGCCCTTTGGCTCAGGTCATGATCTCAGGGTCCTGGGATCAAGCCCCACGTCGGGCTCCCTGCTCAGCGGGGAGCCTACTTCTCCCTCTGCCTGCTGCTCCCCCTGCTTGTGCTCTCTCTCTAATAAATAAATAAAATATTTTTAAAAAATTAGCAACAAAATGATAGCTGGCAACTAAGTAAACGTCACTGAGGTTTTCAAAAGTTTTAATTTTACAGTTCTATTGTGATATCTTTATTACACACAGCACCTCAGCCACTCCTTAGCCTTGAACTAAGGATATTGGGTGATGTGTGGCAGTGCTGAATCACCATATTGTACACCTGAAACTAATATAACGCTGTATGTTAACTGCACTGGAGTTAAAAAATAACATAAAAATAAATATACAAAAGAAAAAGAGAAATAAGGGTAGAATTTTAAAATAAGATAAAGTTAATTCTGTTGGATTTTTTCAAAGTATTATTTACTAAAAGCTCGTGGGATGATTTTGCTCAAGGAAAACAGTTTAGGGCGTTGTATTAAGAGTGTTTCTGTTGTTGTTCATTTAATTTGTGTTCTTTCCAATGTTTCCCAATCAATTTCCCAAGATCGGTTTTCAGATAACTTCAGTTCCAGTTGCTCTTTTGAAACTCAGCATCACAATTTTCAAAGATTCCTGTGAATTACCTCATTGGAATGTTCGCCCACGGGCACAGAGGCTGAAGAGGGGAGGGACCCGCAGTGTGTCAGTGGCTCAGGAATGTGCACGCAGACAGGGCCAGACCTGCCTACACCCCCAGGGGGTGTGCCATCTGGAAGGTAGCATCTCTGTAGACACTAGCAGGTGCACCTGGGCAGAGTCGCGGGAGGGGGGGAGAGGAGCGGGACTCACGTGTGCGCCCTTTTCCAATAAGGCTTTAGCGCAGGCTACGTGGCCTCCAAGGCACGCCTCGTGGAGCGAAGAGACCCGGTTAATGGTCACGAGGTTCACGTTGACACCCTAGAATTTGGAGAGAAGGGGTTAAATGCTGCATTAGCGATAGCAATGGCAGCCACTCCGGGACTTCAGAGTATAGAGTCAAGGCACACGGATCTCCTAGGATGCGTGTGCCACAGTAGCAGCACTGCTGGGGGCCGCAACTCCGCTGCGTCCCAACCCTCAACCCAGCCCAGTCCCAGCACGTCCCCCTCCTCTTCCTGCCACCCTCCACCTTCCTCGTCTCGGAGTCCATGTGACAGATGACAAGATCAGCGTAGCTGTTGGCCAACTCTGACCTCATGCCTTGATTTTCACAACTTGGCCCTTACCATTCCCCCCACCCCATCCTGCCCCATGGTGACCACTTTCTGTCTGGGAAATGAGTTAGGTCCCTGCCAGTCCTTCCCAGCCCAGTTCTGCTTCTGATTTCCTGCCTCCTCACTGGCCGGTTGAAAGCTTCCAAAACCTAGTGCGTGACCCTGAACCCCAAACCCCAAACCCCCACCGTCTCCTGCCAGACCTCCCTTGATGCCCAAAACTGCCGGTCCCTTCATCTTAGGGCCTTTCTATGCCTCCTTGGTCCTGTCCACTCTCGTGTCCTGAATATAATGTCATTACTCGAGAGCTTTGCTATAGATTTCAAATCGGGTATTTAATACAATTAGAAAAATCTTGTCCTTTGCCTATATAGGATTTCCTTTTTTTTTTTTTAAAGATTTTATTTATTTATTTGAGAGGGAGAATGAGATAGAGAGCATGAGAAGGGGTAGGGTCAGAGGGAGAAGCATGAGCAGGGAGCCTGATGTGGGACTCAATTCCGGGACTCCAGGATCATGACCTGAGCCGAAGGCAGTCACTTAACCAACTGAGCCACTGTTTTTCTTATTTTCTTCCTTTTAAGAAAATAAGAAAAACAGGCTAGTCCACAAGGTGGCAGCAGTGCACTAGAAAAAAACTTGCATCTGGCTTGCAAGCTGTCAGAATCCCTGCATTTCTGCATGTGTAATGCTGGACCGGCCTGAAAGACCATCTAGAGTGAATGACCTCCATTGTGCACAAGGAAATGGAGAGGCAGAAAGTTCAAATTATTAATAAGACTTAAGGCTCCCCAGCAGTCGATGACAGCCAGATGACTCTGAGAATCAGGAGCTCCTGATGCCTGGTTTAATGCTTTACTCCACCCCACTGTATGTGAAATAAAGTAAAAAATAAAATGGAATAAAACATTTTTCACGAAGGTGTAAGGGTGAAGAAGTGGGCATGCGCTGTGAAAAAGCTGAACTTCTCTCTGAAGAACGCTCCTCACACATTTAAGCACACTGGTTTACAGAAACCAACATGCTTATGGAGTATAGTTAAAAATAAAAAGGGGCACCTGGGGGACTCAGTTGGTTAAGCGTCTGCCTTCGGCTCAGGTCATGGTCCCAGGGTCCTGGAATGGAGCCCCACATCGGGCTCCCTGCTCAGCAGGAAGCCTGCTTCTCCCTCTGACCCTCTCCCCTCTCATGCTCTCACTCTCTCTCTCTCAAATAAATAAATAAAATCTTAAATAATAATAAAATAAAAATAATGAAGTACTAAAGGCAATGTGGAATCCTGGATCAGAGCCTGGGAGAGAAAAAGGACTCTGTGGGAAAACGGGTGTAATTCCAATAGTCTGTAGTTTAGTTAACACTATTGTACCAATATTAATGTTGACTGAAGTACATGCTTATGTATGATATTAGCACCAGGGGAAGTTGGGTGACATGTATGCGGGAACTGCCTGCACTCTTTTCACAACTCTTCTTTTTTTTTTTTAAAGATTTTATTTATTTATTTATTTATTTCAGAGAGAGAGAGAATGAGAGATAGAAAGCACGAGAGGGAAGAGGGTCAGAGGGAGAAGCAGGCTTCCTGCTGAGCAGGGAGCCCGATGTGGGACTCGATCCCGGGACTCCAGGATCATGACCTGAGCCGAAGGCAGCCACTTAACCAACTGAGCCACCCAGGCGCCCCTCACAACTCTTCCTTAAAATTATTCCAAAGTTAAAAGTTTATTTAAAAAAATACTAATAAGGGGTGCCTGGGTGGCTCAGTCGGCTATGCGTCTGACTCTTGATTTCAGCTCAGGTCTTGATCTTAGGGTTGTGAGTTCAAGCCCCACATTGGGCTCCACGCTGGGTGTGGAGCCTACTTAAAAAAAAATACTAATAGAAGTAAGTGTTGAGGTGTGGGGCTGAGAGGGAGGAGGTGGATGCAAGACTTTTCACCTTTTAATATCACTTTATTTTCGAACTATGTGAATATATTTCATGTTAAAAATAATCAGATCAAATTTTAAGTGCTTAAAAATAAATAAGCAAGTGATAAAAATCAAGTACAAAATCCATTTGATCATTACTGGGCAGTACTGTTTTCCTTTTGCCTCTACTTTTTTTTTAAAGATTTTATTTATTTATTTGACAGAGAGAGACACAGCGAGAGAGGGAACACAAGCAGGGGGAGTGGGAGAGGGAGAAGCAGGCTTCCCGCGGAGCAGGGAGCCCGATGCGGGACTCGATTCCAGGACCCTGGGATCATGACCTGAGCCGAAGGCAGATGCTTAACGACTGAGCCACCCAGGTGCCCCATTGCCTCTACTTTCTTAAGAAGTAACCCAACTCATGAAAGAGGAAGCCAAAAAAAAGGTGTGCGTGCATGCATATGTGTGTGTGTGCGTCATGCACACACACAGAACAGTGCGCCCAGCTGTTTAAATTCAAAATGATAAGGAAGCAAGGTTCGGTGGTAGCTAGAATGTGGAAAAAAGATGTAATAAATCACCTCCTCTATACACATGTAGACGCTAAAACAAAGTAAATGGAGCATGTACACTTTCGTTCACTCATTTGACAAATATTTAGTAAGCCGTTATTCATTGTTCAAGGTGCTAGGGATATAGTCATCAATAAAAATAAAGTAGCCTTAATAACTAAGACTTTAATAAATCTTCCCAAAGGAGTAAGATTTACCCATGTCAACCTATTGTAATGTTTGCTCTTGAGATACTGTATCATCCGGGTACAGAGTCTCTAAAATGGCTCCCGGGGATCCCTGATTCCTGGTTTGGGCCCACCGTGTACTCCCGTCCCCTTGAGTGTGGGCTGGATTCCCTGACTCCCGTCTAATGAATAGAATATGGCAGAAGTGATGGGACGTCACTTTGGCGATTAGGTTATACTAAGACTTGCTTCTTAGGCACTCTCTCGTGCTCTCTCTGGGGGAAGCTGGCTGCCATTTCATGGCACAGTCCTGTGGAGAGGCCCTTGTGCAAGGAGTTAAAGCCAGCCCACAAGTACATGAGTGAGGTTGGAAGCAGATCCTACCCCCTCAAGCTGTGAGGTAACTGCGGCCCTGGCTGGTACTTGGCTGCCTGCAAGAGACTCCGAGCCACAACCACCCAGCCAGGCTGCCCCTTGGCGCACAGAAAGCACGCAAATCTGTGCTTATTGTTTTAAGCCACTGTGTTTTTGAGGTCATTTGTTATGTGGTAATAGCTGACGAATGCAATTTCAGGGCTGTTGTTAGGCACACGGGGAGAGGATAGGGTGAGTTAATGCAAGAAAAATGTGAAGGCATCTGCTGTCCCAGTCACAGGGAAACTGCCTCTGGGGTGAAGGCAGGCCCAGAATGGGGAGACGGTGCTGGGCAAAAAAAAAAATGAGGATATGTACACCTAGACTGGCCGTGCGGGCCCCCAAATGGGGTGAGCAAGACTTCTGCCACAGCCAAAGCTCCAAAAGCATGATGCCGATTATAGCAGAAGCACAAAGGAGCATGTCTCTGGTTTACCTACCTGTGCAATTAAAGTTTTCAGGGCCAGTAAGCGCCCCTGGGCCGCAGCTTCATGAAGTGGGGATCGGTCAGCCCAGCAATCTGAAACACAAATCAAGCTCAGAGTCAAGGTCTGGAGTCTTCTTCCGGCTGTTCCGTCCCACTGCCCACCCACCGTAGGAGGGGGTTTGGGGGAGACAAGGGCAGCTCGTACCACACATCGGGCTTTCTCATCATCAGCCGCTTTCAGGGTGACAAGCCACTTGAGTGTACAACTCACGGGTCTGGTGGTGTGTGCAGAGGGAGCACAGACCATCTCTCTCACTCTTTGGGGGGCAGTTTTAACAAGCAATAGATTTAGTTCGAATACATATTGCCCCGGGCCTGGATCTGACAGCTCTAAACAAGGCAAACTGAAGGGCAAAGCTGGTCACTGAGCCTCCCTGCTTTCATCCTGCCCCCGCCTCCCACCCTCACCTCTACCCTGAAAACTCAACAGCCTGGACCCCACGAAGGAGGCTGGAGGATCAGGGGAAATGGGTTGGTTCTCAATGCCCTAGGTAATTGTCTCGGCTTCATTTTGGCCCCGAGGCATATCTATTACACGATGAAGAATAGGTATGGTTTTTCAGATGACACAATCTCCCACAATTTCCTGTGGGCAGTGGAACGTGACAGCTAAGTGCAGAGCCCGTGGGGCCACACCGCCCGGGGTCAAGTCCGACCTCAACCCCTTCCTGCCGAGAGGGGCAAGTTACCAAAATTAATTTTGACCTCAATTTCATGATCTGTAAAATGGGGGGTCTAGTAATTTGGTATTTAGCAAGTGCTTTGGTCTCAAAGTAGGCCAGTAAAACACATCCATGATGTTAGGTATTCAAGGAACTTATGATTAATAAGTACGAGTATTTCTTTTTTCCCCTGTAATCGCTCGTTAGTAAACAAGACTAACCAGCTTCAAGGGGCATTTGAGAAGTAAGCCTCTTTGAACATGCCAAAGGGCGATCATTTGTTTGGGATGAATACCTGTTCCAGTTCGTAAAATTTCAAACATAACTGTGCTCTTCGTTCACCGAACAGCATGTAACACAATTTGGGTTCACACAAAGGGTCCATCTTACCAACCTTTTCTAGGGGATCCTGATGGTGCCAAGAATTCGGGTTTTCCTACACCTGCGACCTTGGCAAACGCAACCCCGCCAAAGATGGGATTATGTGAGTGTGAAATAGCTTGAGGCCACAAGGACAGAGTGAACTTCTCCAACAGATGAGAACCAGGGCCATAAACATTTCAGTAGGCCTTCTTATATTGCAATTCAATTTTTACCTTCCCTTACCCCTGGGGTTATGAAAAGACAGAAGGCTAGAATGAACTCTACAGAGTTGAATTGAAATTGGAGTAGTTGGTACGAAAAGGTGATTTTCAACATACGTGTATTTATGTTTCTATTCATATTTATATTACTTTAACAAGGTTTGGAGAAATAGCTGATTCCGGGCTGGGCCAGGAAAAATATAAGATGGGCCTCAAACACCTTGCCGGAAAGACAATGAATGATGGGACATGTCAAAAAGACATGGAAGCTGGCTTGCAGGGGCTTCCACTGGTCAAACATGGGATGACTTGAGCATTGAAATAAAAAATGGTGGTAGATTATACCCTATCAAATGAAATAGGAATCTCTAAGTCCTCACTGATATAAATTAACATATACATAGCAAGAAGGAAGCTATTCCTCATAGAACACCAACAAGAAGAAATTGTCGAATCTGGCTCGAGTTATCTCCTCACAAAATAATTACTAGTTACAAAGGAAACACGGGCCATTTTATGGTGGAACAAAATTGTAGACACCACCTTACCCAGGGGATCAAAGTTAGCATCAGAAGTGAGGGGACGGATTGGCACAGTGTGTCATGGGCGATGGGTGACATCACGTGCTGTCGGAGGGAATGCAAAAACACACCATAAAACACATAATAACACACACCATAAAACACACCATAGCTTGTGTAATATTCCTGCTCGCGATGCATAACCCAAATCAAACCCCGAGTACACTGTGAACCAACTCACCAAGGGACATTCTGCAAAGTAAGTGGCCTGTAACCAGTTCAAGGAGGGACTGAGGAAGCATTGCAGACGGCAGAAGGCTGATGAGACACAACACCTAAGGGATCCCCCACATGGGATCCTTTCGCTCTCAAGGACATTATTAGGACAGTTGGCTAAATAGGAATGCAGGTCTCTGGGCAAAGAGAAGTGGGAATTCTTTGTACCACTCTTGTAACTTTTCTGTCACTTTGAAATTAGTTCCCAAATTAAAAAGTGTGATACACACACATATATAAACTGGAACTAATTTATATATAAGTTTATCTATATACACAATTAATCACTGGGTTTTCATATTCCTGATACGAATGTGTGATGCTTTTATAAGAAAAACAGATAAAAACGTTAACCGGGAAAAAATCTTGTGCTCATATCTCCACTTGTCCCTGAGTCAGTGAAAAGCTGATGGAGTATTTTTAAATCTCTTCCGACATTTATAATTTGCATAAGCTGAGAATAATGAGATAATGAATGCATATAATCCTCAGTTAGTCAGCCCCGGTTTTCTTCTAGTACATCTCCTCCCCATTCAACACGAACTGTGTGTCAGATGCGTTGCCTAATCGCCCTGGGCGATGGACACAGGCACTGGGGTTGGAAGGAGAGGCTTCATCCACGGATGGCAACTCAGCTCCCTGACCAAGGTAAGAAGCAAAACCACAGGGCGCCTGGGTGGCTCAGATGGTTAAGCGTCTGCCTTCGGCTCAGCAAGTCCCGCATCAGGCTCCCTGCTCCTTGGGAGCCTGCTTCTCCCTCTGCCTCTCTCTCTCTCTGTCTCTCATGAATAAATAAATAAAATCTTTAAAAAAAAAAAAAAGAAGCAAACCCACAGCCACAGCTCGGTTATGCTTTTGTTCTGAGAAGAGCCAGTCAATCCGAGTCACCTGAAGGTATATTATCTAAGTGTTTGATTCAAAAATAAAAACAAGGTTTACATGGTAACTCGCTATTACGAAATTAGAAAACTAACATGAAATGGCTTTATTTTTTTTTAAAGATTTTATTTATTTATTTGAGAGAGAGAGAATGAGAGAGAGAGCACGAGAGGGAAGAGGGTCAGAGGGAGAAGCAGACTCCCTGCTGAGCAGGGAGCCCGATGCGGGACTCGATCCCGGGACTCCAGGGTCATGACCTGAGCCGAAGGCAGTCGCTCAACCAACTGAGCCACCCAGGCACCCTGGCTTTATTATTTTTAAAACTTACCTCCAGGTGGGCTGTGGCGTCCCCTTTCCTTCTGAGAAGCAGGAACCTTAACCACATCTTCGTCCTATTTCTAGTAACTTCTGTTACTCACCAGTCCCATAAGACCCACTGCACACATAGAGTGGAGAGATCTCCAAACGTAATGTTGAGTGAAGGAAGCCAGACACCAAAGAGCATGTGCTGTCTGATCCCTCTTTCTAATGTACAAAAGGGGGCCCAACTCACGTAGGGTGTTAGGAGTCAGAAGGACCCCAAGGAGGGGCGGGGGCTGACTGGAAGAGGAAAGAGTGGGGGCCGTGCTGCCAATATGCAGTTTCTGGCTCCTGGGAGCCGACACCTGATCACATTCACCTTGTGAAAATCCATGCAGATGTTCACTTAGAATTTGTGCCCTTGTCTGTATTTGCAAAGTACTTCAACAAAGAGATTTTCAAACGACTAATCTATGGGTCAGTCCACTTGAGCCACCTCTCCTGGTGTCCCCTGTCAATGCAGCACCCTCTGACACCCCTGCCTTTGACGTCATGGGAAGCCTGTGGGGCCATCTTCCATTCCACCATGAAAGCAGGAGTGGTGAGCCGTCCCTGGCTTGTCCCTCACCACAGGACTGCTCTCCGCTTCTCTTTTCCCATAGGAGAGGCCCAGGGGGGCAGCTCGGCCCCGGGGGGCAGCTCAGCAAGTTGCCCGAGCGGACTTCCACCTTGAGAGGGAAATACCAAGCTCCCTTCCTGTCAGGGGCCCCTTATCTCAACTGGTATTTCTCCTGGAGCCCCCACCCTTGGCCTTCCAGAGAGGGAGCACCCCCAAGATGCATGCCAACCCATTTGTCCCACATGAAGAGATCTCACTTGCAGCAAGTGGCAGAAATAGTACCGAATTCCAAGGTTTTGCGACTTAGAACATCCCCTGCTCTGGCATTAAGAACTACTAGTTTTAAATCCCGCCTAACTTCAAGGCCAATTATTGGCCCGGGATGCTTAGCTCTATCCACCATCTCCTCATACATAGCATGAAATGCATCCATTCGTTATCACCTTCAATGTAGAACTCATTTTTGCTTCCCAGCTGGAAACAAAACCACTCTCAAGGGAAGTCACCTTTCCAGTCACATTGTTTTCCAGCACTTGCTTCCAAGGACCTTGAGTTTTCACCCAAAACCCTTTCCGGCAACTCTGCCATGGTGGGTTCTCCTGTTTTCCTCTTCTTATTCCCAACACGCAGCCTCTCACTCTGATCATTCTTGTTTTGCAAATTGGAGCGAATTGTGAGAAATGAGGGATAAAAGTCATCTGGCAACTAGGGAGTTTTTCCATTCCTTTCAGGAAATATCAACTAAGCTCTCCAAATAAATGAACGCCTAAGTAGGAATCAACCATTCTCTTCTAAGGCAGTCTATTTTTAGTCCCTTGGCGGACTGCCTGTGTCACAGGGCTGCAAGCACATTAGGAAGATAGTTTACTGGACAAATATGTTTACTTGTTCCTGATGAGGTGTATGGAAAATGTTCAAGTACTTTTTCATCCCCCCCTTTGACTTTTTCTCAGAATATGATTTATATCTCTAGTTCTCAGATTCTTTGAATAACAATTTCATGACAACTTCTAAAACCACAGATTTCAGAAAATAACAAAATTGGTTCCGAAGGAATACAGTTGTCTGAGTTCCAAGTATTCAAGATAAAACTTATTATGACTATTTAAAAAAAATTTTTTTTTTTTTTGCAATTTTCCCCTTCCTAAATCCAACAAGTATTTAAGATTACTGGTTTATTATTTTTATTTTTATTTTTTTTAAGATTTTATTTATTTATTTGAGAGAGAGAATGAGAGAGAGAGAGAGAGCATGAGAGGGGGGAGGGTCAGAGGGAGAAGCAGACTCCTGGGACTTGATCCCGGGACTCCAGGATCATGACCTGAGCTGAAGGCAGTCGCTTAACCAACTGAGCCACCCAGGCGCCCTGGTTTATTATTTTTAAAGAACCACCTAACTGGTTATAATCTCTGGTGCACATGAACAATTTTTGTTCTCTTAATTCAAGTTCCAAAATCATATGAACCAATATCTTCTCCTGTAGCATCTATCAAATAAAAGAATTCAAAAGGAATCTCAATTTTGAAACAAAACATACACAGAAGCCTAGCAGAATTAATGGTATTTTAAGTCAAACAAAGGTAATTGGCGGGCGCCTGGGTGGCTCAGTTGGTTAAGCGACTGCCTTTGGCTCAGGTCATGATCCCAGGGTCCCGGGATCGAGTCCCACATCGGGCTCCCTGCTCGGCGGGGAGCCTGCTTCTCCCTCTCCCACTCCCCCTGCTTGTGTTCCCTCTCTCGCTGTCTCTCTCTCTGTCAAATAAATAAAATCTTTAAAAAAAAAAAAAAGGTAATTGGCAAAAACCCATATTATAATAATTTCCTGGGATACCTAAAATATTATAATAAAACTGAGTTAAAATGCACACTCTCTGGAACACGCAGTTCTTGTCAGGAGATGCACCACGGTCAACAAACATCTTTCTGTAGGGTGTTAGAAAGAAGATGCCCTTGAGCCCATCACGAGCAGGAGAGCTGGGCTAAAGGTAACAGGGGGCGTGAGCAGAGCCCCTGCCGAGGACTGGTTGTCCAAATTTGGGAAAGCCAGCAGGCACTTGTGAGAGGTCACTCTGCAGAGGGTGGCTGGGCCAAGGCCTGAGAAGACAACCAGCAAAACTCAACAAGGGTAGAAAGTTAGGTAGAGGATTAGGCAAGAATGGACCAAAAGCAGGAAAAACCTGTTGGAAAGGGAAGGACAGGAAAAAGGAATCAGGATGTTGAGTCACACACAGGCGTGGCCATCAAATCAAGGTGAGTCCTTTTTGAATTTAGAACAAGGTCAACTGATTCTAAGCGTTAAACACTCAGACTCGAACTAATCTTTTAGATTTGGCTTAACATAAAATTTAAAAAAAAAAGAGTACAATAGTTCCACATTCTCTTATCTGCAGTGTAAAATCGCCCACATTTTGAAAACCAAGCTTTCCCCCAAGTTTGATGCAAACTCCTTTGGCAGCTAAACATGGTGAGGACTCAGGTTAAGCAATTTATTCTTTTTCATTTGTATTTCCGCTTAGTGTAAAATATCAAATATAATACAGAAATAGAAATATCAAAATGTTTGATTATGGGAGTACTGGGAGATATACACTGTACACACCGTGCCATCTTTCCAGTAGCCCCAAAACTCCTGAATCCTGAACCACGTCTGGCCCAAGGGTCATAAAAACAGATGATCAACCTGTAGCTATACACTTTATTTTTATCAAGTTTGATGACCAAGCCCTGGACTAAATATAGCTTCAATTCTGGCCAAATTAAGCAAAGGCGGAAAAATCATATACCACATCTGTCAGGAGAAAATGCCTGCAGAAATCTCTATGGGCTGAAGGTGGGATCCAGTGCTCAAGATGCAGCACCAAGGGCCAATGACAATGTTTTAAACATAAATACATAGGTATCTATAATTGGCCAATTACACAAAGAAGCCCGAAAAATCAAAAAACCAGCCAGCCAGAGTTTACCTCAAGTCTGGTAACTTATTGACAAATGTAGTAGTTTAAGCCACAGAGACATATTGAATGATGCTTTCCAGAATATGAGAGTCCAGAATAAAAAACAATTCCAGAAGATTTTACATGATATTTAATGAGGGACATGTTGCTAGGTATAGCTTCCAAAAGAAAGCATGCCAGGACCTATGACAGGCTAAACTATGTCCCGGCTGAGTTTTTAACTACCCTCCCCTTGTTTTTGACAGCTCTGATGATAGTTTACAGGAACATAATATGCTATTGAAATCAAGAAATTTAACCTTGGACTGAGACTTATTCTAAGTCAATTAGCTAACTTACTGATTGTCACATATTTTCCCAACCGACATTTGTCTGACCCGTGAGCAGCAAAGAGAATTTCCAGTCTGAGCTGAAGAATGGCACAAAATTTTGTTCTTTATTTTTAATACATCTAGCTTTAAGTATATAGCATCTGATTCCTAACAGTGTCAAAAGAAAAAAAAAAAGAAACAGTTTCTGGCATGCTGCTGCCTACATTATTATAGAAAGCCTTATGTACCACATCTGGATATACTGTCTATTACATATACGTGTGGGTGCATGTGTGTATTCAGAAACACACACAGTCATCCACACACACATATATGTATACATAGAAAGGAAATTAAACTGAGAAATTGACATGTACTATTCTCCCCCGCCTCATTAATGATAATCAAAAAATACGCTTCTGACTTTATAACACCATGCTACTTGCAAATTAAATGAATATTATCTTAGGAGCTTGACCAAATGAGGACATTTGAGGTAAAGAATGAATGAGCTCCATTTAAGAAATCTGTATTATGGTCCAGACCTAAATCCAAACCCTGTTTACATGGGTTTTGACTATTATCGAATCTTTTTAGGAGTGTACTTAATTCAGGATGACAAAGACAGAAACAATGCACGTGAGCAACAGGACAAAACATTCTTAACACGCTCCTGCCAATATGGACTTTGTTGGACTTCACCTCATTTAAGCCGTGAGGAGGATCAATCTACAAGAACATCCACACTGTGTTGCTGAAACTCTTAGAAAGCCCCTGCCCACATTTACATATTAAATTAGAAAACAGATTTTCAGATCACACTTAATTCGAAATGAAAGAGAAACTTTTTTTAAAGCAGCCTAAGCAACATACCTCCCTGAAATGTGTGACAAATGTAATCCCCGAAAGAAACCTCTTTCCACATTCCGGGCCTTCTGACACTTCCTGAAACTTCAAGATTCTCCTCATTTCCCCCAGTGAACGGAAGCATTCTGAGGCTTTGTCTTTGGAGGTCTTATTTTTGGGGAGGATGAGACTACTGTCATCTAGTGTCTTCAAACTTAATCTAGTGTATTGGAATCACATTGCACAGGTCTATTTTGAAAGAGAATCCCGGGTGCAAATTGACATGGATACTAGATCAGGAATGACATCATCCTGGAACCCCTATGAACACTAAGAATACAGAGGGAAATGGTAAACTCTGTTTACAAATAAATACTCCTCTATCAAGTGACCATCCCAGCAGTGACAAGTGTATCCGATTCATTTACTTTTGTAGCAATTCACTCCAATTAAGGTGAATCATTTCTTCAGAGAACTGGAGACTAAACCCTACAGAGCATGAGACTTTAAAATGTTTTTCCCAAATGCTGGCATTTCATATTAGAAAAACCTTTGTTTGCAGGGCTTTGCACAGCGCCGTGTATAAATGGGTTTAGTGCAGGGTTTTTCCTGACAGTGATGAGTGGCTAATGGATTCGAATTGCAAATGACAACACAAAAATATATATAGCACGCCACATTTGCTGCTTTAAATCAGATTTACTGGTCATTCTATTTCCTGAGGAAACTTAGTCTTGTTAGAATGGATTGCTAAAGTTTGCTTAAAAATATTAAAGAAAATAATCCCATAGAAGTCATTCTTTAGGTTAGTAGAAATGAGGTTTCTGCAAATACTCTTAGAAAGCCACTACCCTATTTACTTCTTAAACAAGAACCACTAACAGAACTACAAACTTGCAAAAAATAAAGCTGAAAATCCTTCAAATTGGTGCAGTCAAAATCATTTGCTACTTTAAATAATTTTTAAAACCACCCACACAAAGCCAAAGTATAAATAAAATCTGCCCTCTAGAAATATTATTCATATGAGCTATCTAGGAGGGTTTTTTTTTTTTTTTAGTTTTAGGAGCAAATCCATGTATTTTTACCTGAAATTCCACCATAGATCTCTTCTGCTATCCTAGCCGCTTCTTTTCTATTTCCTTTGACGATATAGAAGTGAGTTAGGAGAGCCAAACAAACTTTAATTAAAAGTTTGAAGAAAAAAAAAGTAGCAAACATTGTAATAAAAATGTTTTTAAAGCCATAGGAAACAGGACTGTCTTCCATTTTGGCTTACACTCTGTATAGGTTCCTGGTACTGCAAAAGCTCACTGAGTTATAACTGGCATCATATGACATCTATTTTCAACTTTCTAGCCCTTGGTGCTCCTGTTACTGAGAACTCGCTCGTACATTCTAAGCTAACTGTGATTTGGCGGCTGCGTGTGCGGTCTCTCATAGCAATGTGGAATGAACTCCAGAAACTTCCTTTTAGACCTGCATTCCTCAGTGCTATTTAAAACACAGGATTCCTGGCCGGGTCTTTTTTATTCCTAAGTCCCAAATTGTGCTACATTATGTGGGAAGGCAGTTATTGGAGAGAGAAAACAAACTTCTCAGATCCCACGGGGACGAAGCAAGTTATCTGAAGTGGGAAGAACTGACGCCAGACCACTTCATTTTCTCTTCCTCCTGAGGTTTTTGGGGAGATAATGCTCCAAACTAAAATATGACCAGCTGAACAAGACCATTTACTCTAAGGTAGTATTTAGCAAAGGGCTCCTCTTGGATGCCTCTCCAAGTGGATGTGTCCGATTGAAAGCGTTAGACCACTTGCTCTCATGGTCTCGTCCGTGACAAGGTCCCATGCGTTTCCCATTTCAAGTGTCAGTAAAGGTGGTGCCTCGGACTGGAATATGGGCGCTCTCCTTGACCGTGGAAGAGTTAGAGCAAAATGGATGAAGAAGATGCCCTCCATTCTGGGTGAATTACCCAAAGATTCTATGTATCAATACCTTCCCTCATTGGACAGTTCTCTTGCAACCCTAACTCTTCAATGTGTGTCGGTGGGCCAATACAAGGGAAATCAACTTCTTGTTCATTTCCCTCACCTACAAAAATTAGATGAGGAAAACCCAGGTCTCCTCTTTCATTCTCGGCTATATTAGATTTTCAAAAATCTCTACAAACTATTGAAAAAGGCAAGCCAAGAAAAAGAAAATTGCAAGAGCAGACTAAAGAAATCTTACTTACTACATGCTTTATGCAAAAAAAATGGGAGTTTCTCATAGCACTCAGGCAAATTAGAATGACGACATCTATGAGAACTGGGTTCCCTATAGTCTGGGGAAAGGCTGATGTGTGAGCAGACAGCCTTGTGTCACCGTATAGGCTGCAACCATTTCAGTGAATTACAGAACCAGGAAGATCCGGTGCAGTTCCCAAGCCCAAGAACTGAGATCAACATACAGGGTTTCTTGACCCAGCTTAGTCCCGACCTACAGCTTCCTACCCAGAGAGTGCCAACATAGGAGAATCCGCGAACACAAGCATCCATGAACACAAGCATCTGTGAACACAAGAACACTGCCCTCTAAGAAGCCCGTCCTTTACTCAAGTCAGCCCAGTGACATATTACAGGACGTTATTCAATCATGTTTGGGCCTTAATCTTCATTTAAAACATGGCTGTACTTTCTGTGTTATACACCAGACAAGTTGGCCATCAGGAGCTCGGCTTCTTTGTAAGGTTCAAACGGATGTCTATGCTATTTCTGAGAGACCATCTTTAACTACACTTGAGCATTACATTCAAGATGGGCACAAAAGGCCACTGAAGTAAGCGGTTAATTCACACCATCCTTCACAGATGAAATCCTCTGTGGCACCACAGTTTCTCAGCCTCAGCACTACTGATATTTGGGACCAGACAATTCTTTGTTGGGGGCAGGCGGTTATCCAAAAGCATGGTAGGCTATCCAGCAGCATCTCTGCCCTCTGTCCACTCGATGCCAACACCCCCACTCACATCCAGGGCTAACAACCAGAAATGTCTCCAGACACTACCAGGTGTCCCCTACGGGGCAAAATCGCCACCCCCCCCTCCCCTATCCCCTACCACATCCACTTAAGAACCACTGAGCCATAGCCAAATATAAAGAACAAAGGAAAATCAACTCCCCAAAGTACTAGTGAATACAAATTAAATTTTGTACAGAACTTGAATTTTTAGAATTTCATATTTAAAAAAGCCCAGCCACGGGATGATACAATTTAACATCTCGCCATATTCTTTCGGGAACGCGGGGAAGGAGAAAGAGGCCTTTAAAAATCCTGTGCGAAAGTAAACACAGACCTGTGATACCCTGACTTTTGGCGTAAGATAAATCAGAACATACCAACGTAGAGGACTGCTTTCCACTGCTTCCAACAAAAGGGGTGGGAGAAGCTGGGCTTCTGTAAATGAAATCAAAATTCAAATTCCTTTTAAAATAGCTTACAAGATAGAAAGTGTAATTATGTAGTTCACACACACACAATAGCTTCTAGATGTATTCACTTGTCTCATGCGACAACTCCAGCGCAGGGAAAAACAGGGCTTGTGTGGATCAGGACACAGAGGCACAATCCAACTCGCTACTCCGTGGGTAAAGAGAGACAATGTACTCTAGAAAGAAAAGATGACAGAGTAATTCATCATCTGAAGGACAGTTCCTATTTTACTAACAGACCAAGCAACACATCTAATGGCAGTGAAAGAGCAAGCAGACGAGGGAGGGGGTGGAGGGGGCACTGTTAAACGAGTAAAATCATATTCTCTTCATCAAAGAAGACAAACTCAGAAAATTGTCAAAATGTCATTTTGGTCTTTATTTTTGGACATGTAGCATGTTTTCATAAACCAGTTTCATATGTGCTAGTTTTTGTAATATCAAAAGAAATACAATATATTTTTCGTAAATTCCTCATCACTGCAAGTTCACTTTCAAATAAATGTAAGTAGCGGGGTTGAACAATATGTTTCCACATGTTGACCAGTGCAACACTGACAGTTACAATTAAGGTATCCAGGAAGCCTGAAAATTAAGATTTACTAGAACAAGCAAATTTACTTCCCTTTGTTAAAAACAAAGGACACAATTTTGATTTGCAAATTACATATTTTACATGCAAGTTGAAGGCCCATTTCCATCTGAAATGAATGGCCATCTCGAAAATATGCTGAGAAACAAAAATGTAAGAACAAACAGTAGTATGCCCTTAAAACTGCTGAAGCGAATAAATAAAAACACAGGTTACAGTTTCTTGCTTTAGCGTGCATATTGGCACTGTTTATTTCATATTTACATAAATCAGTTTCTGTGCGTTAAAAATCCCAATAAGATTTAATGGTTGGGGTCAGTCCATTTTTCTTCAACAAAAGATCCCTCAACTTCCGGGTTTTAAGAATCGCACTCGCACATTTGTGTTTTGGCACAAAACACAAATCGTTATTTCTTACAGATCAGTGGCAACCGGTCAACAGACATGTTAAGATACTTTTTAAAAAGAAGTTTTGTGAGCGTTGTCGTTAAAAAACAAAAGGAAACTAATCCTGTACAGAACCCCAATACTGCCAGCAGCTTCTCAGTGTGCCACAAGCACCTCTTTCTTTGGATTTCACAGTCCTTTATCACAAAAACTTACTCTAAGGAGTTCAAGGAGTTAATAAGACACACCATGTGGATAATTTGGGGTTTAAAAACCCATGGCTCTGGGCAACAACGATTACAGTTAACAATAGACATCCACAAAGAGACTGTGTTCCTACAATTTTCAGACTCAATTAGCTATAAATAGCACATTCTGGGGTGAAGACTTCTGCACACTGACAAGACTTCTCAGACAGCAGCTAGGCCACAAGTGAAGGGAAGTGACTTCTATCAAAGGTAGCGGAGGGGAGCAGCTGAGTTGGCGATGCCACAGCTCGTACGTTCTGTTCGGAAAACACGAAGGCATTTACAGAGGACTCAGTGATGCCTGGGAAGGCGCGGAGGGTTTCTCTGCACTGTCGTCAACAGTGGTATCGGTCCCTAGCATTCCAGAAGCAAGAAGCTTCTTCATACACGCAAATTAAGACGAAGGCTCTACCTAGGAGAACGCATACGACAAGATCGAAGAAGTAACTGGAGTCTGCCAACCACTGTTCCTGGCATTGAAAGCCTGAGCATTTTTGGCATGTTAGATAGTTTACCATTCCGTCAACTGTGACTACAATGAAGTGAGCCATCTGAGCAATAAACAAAAGAGCATCTGAATGTGCCCCTGGTCCTCAACAGCACGAAGTGTCTAGTTCACTGTTCTACACACAGTAGGAGATGCTAAAAACATGCCAATAACTGACGGACCATCTTGCTCAAGAAACCTGCTGATGATCTGTAACACTGAGCGTACCAAATAAACGTCTAAGAACATGACTTCAATGACTAAAATGTGTCCGAACAGGACTCAAAAATAGTTCATATCGTTGTTGTACTTCCCGAAAGAAAACCTGTAAACATCTGGTGAATGTCTAATTGATGGTAGAACATTTAAAATTGGCCCCAAAATGCCCAGAAAACATTTGGCCCTTCAGCACCCAAAGCTCCCAAAATATAATTTTAAAACATCTCTGTTAGAGGGATTTCAGTAGTCTGAAAAATTTCATACCTGAGTGGCTTCAATGTTCTCTCCTAAATCTTAAGTAAGTTAAGTGCAAGGAGTTTCTACACTCAGGAATTGCATAAGTTTTTAATCTTTCCTCAAAATAAAACATTGAATGATATAGAGGTAGCATAACTTACTAAATTAACTTTAAAAAAAAAAAAAGAAAAAAGCAAGGTTATTTTCAATCGTCTTACTAGGACTATTACAAATGTGTAAAACCTTACAATCCAGGCTTTCTTCTACCTGGGTTTAGACATCTCATTATTCTCGCCCCCTTTTTTACTGTAAGGATATTGACGAGTCCAGGCGCCCTTGGGCCCTGTGGCATCTATTGCGACATCGATGATAGAATCTGGAGTCATCCATCTCAGGAAAAGGAGGAACAGAAAGTTGAATACAGCCAACAAAGCAAAAATGCAGCCTGTTACTGGGCCACAGTGAGAGATGAGTCTGTCCAGTCGTTTGTCCATTGGTAACACAGCTTCTCCTGCCACGCGGTCGTACACCTGGCGGGAGAGAGGCCAAGAGTGAGCACTCTGACCCACAAGAAACAACGACCTGCACGGACCAGGGATGCTTTACAGATGCAAACGGGAGGCGCTTACATTTCATTGCTGTTGTTTTAGTAAGGACGTGATTAATGAAATTAAAGTAATCATTGCCATGTGATTCAACACGTATGGAGTGCTGATCCTGGACAAAACACTGGGCTAGACACTGCATCACACAGAGACGAATATGCCAGGGCTCCTGCCCCCTAGGGGGTCACCATCAATTTTAACCAACTACGAGAATTCCGAAGTCCTGAGAAGTTGGAACCGCTTTTCGGGTCACCTCTGTCGAGGCCATAGTTAACTCAGCAGTGACTTCCTGAAGCAGGACTGGCCTTCTAAGATTCCTTGATTCGGCTGAGCAGCTCTCACAGCTAGCTGGCAGACATCAACCACCATCAGAGAGCTCTAATCTAGTGTGCTTCTGAGTACAGAGAGGCTCTTCTTTCCACAGCCACGGGAGGCTGTGTTGCTGAGCATGGATGGTGAGACTATACAGGACCATTTCGTGGACTCCAAATAAAAGGAAGGGGAAAAAGATGGGGTAAATTTTAGCAGATGGCATAGGTCAAACGCTTTTGGCAAACAAAACAACGTTTACCACTGAGAACCGGTAGTAGGTGGCTTGCTGTTTGGAAGCGCTGCTAAGCACAAAATTCAGAAATATTTTAAAAACAAAGATCCGTAAACATACTTAGTTCGAACACATAAACGAGGCCAGCATTTATCTGTTCCGATTGCATTCGAGCATGACTTGTGGTCACTGTCACACAGTGGACCTGTGAGCCATCTCCTTTGGAACTCAGGAAGGCTGGGACGTGCAGGGCGAGCTCTACAGGCCAGCGGCCTCTGGAAAGGTACAGCTGTTTCCAGCTAGCTCTTCTACCCTCAAAACATCTGGGGTACATTTCAGTCCGAATTATGCTGAGACTGGTGAATTAGAACAGTTGACAAAGTATGTTTCCAGCGTGAACTCCAATTTAATTTCTTCATCAATTTTCTAAATAAGCACAGTTAAACTACGGAGGAGGAGTTGAAAAGGATCGAAACGGCCTGTGCAGAACAGGTAGAATTAAGAGAGCAACTACAAATTCTCTATCGCCGCTTTTTATTTGTGGTATTTCCAGTATCTGTCACGTGCATTCTGAATCCTAACTTACTATGTTCTCAATCAGCCCAGAGATGCAAAAATCCTCTTCCCATAGATAATCAAGGTACTTAGCCAAGGCGACGCAAGAGTTTTGGGAAGTAGCCTGAATTAAACGTTTGCAAGTGTTAAAGTTGCCGCCATCGGACTGAGCAAAACCATGTATTTTCTAATAAGACCGACATGCTTTAGAATCAGAAACAGCCTCAAGAAAACGTCTAAGAGTAGATTTTAGTATCAGTTTGGCCTTTAATGGTTGTGACTTCTAGAAAATTCGGTAACTTCCTCTATGCCCACTTTAATGAAAGGTCTAGATGGCATTACTGCTATTTTCAGATGTCAAATGCAATGAGTTGACTAGAAACTCAGCCTAGCATACACCAAAAGTAGTACACAGTGCATTTCTTTTCATCTGAAGAGACTTTATAAACTTAAGCAACAGAAAGGGTAAACCTATACAAGAGAAAGCAAACGTGTACATGAAACGCCAAGAATTTAGACACAATCTTCAAATACCGTTTGCTTAGCACATGACATACTTTTTCAGTTCTTTCCGCAACATTCCTCCAGGTGTAGAAAGTCTTTACTACGTTATGGATATTTTCGGGAGCCGGCAATGCTCCTGACTTCAGCTGGGAAATCGCTTTTTCTAAACCCTCACACAAGGACTTGACGGAAGGCTCACACAGAATGATAAGATTTTCTGGAAGTACTTCAGGAATTCCACCAACCCTGGTACTTACAACCTTAAAAAGAGAAAAAGAATATACAATACACCATAATTCATATCTCAGGAAAATCAGCAAAACCAACTTAAATTAAAAGTCACTACAGAATGCATCTGCTTATTTTTCAGAATACAAGTACAGGAACCCCAACATGTAAGCCCTCAAAGCTTTTTACCTGTAAACCACAACTGGCTGCTTCCACGATCGCCATGCAGAATGCTTCGGTAAGGGAAGTATTCAGAAAAATATGTCCTTGAACTAAGACATTTCTAACATCCTTGTGTTCTAAGGCTCCCAAGAGACGCACTCTGATTTTTGAAATGAAAGAAGAAAAGAAGGGAGTGAAAATCATGCTAGAAAATAAATATCATTTAGAAGCCAAGTGTGCTATTCACATTATACTTAGATTACTGCTGGTTCGGATGTTTTCCACCGCAAAAGATTAATATCCCCAAATTCTGATCTAAAAGAGTCTCTTAAAGTTATTTGGTTAAAACTCATGCAGCTAACATATTTCTAACTTTTGTCACGCATACAAATTTCATTTTCTCCAAAATTAGTTGGCATTTAGTGCTCGCTTCGGCAGCACATATACAAAATTAGTTGGCATTTAGTGAAGATGTTAATATACTTTGGTGAGTAAATATTAAAGAGTCATTTCTAAACAGAAAAAGGCCCCTTTTAAATTGACGCTTCACAGCAAACATCTTTCTAAGTTACTGAGAAAGAGAAGTATTTGAATCTGTGTGTGCAGGACAATTTACATGATTTGGGCCATGCTACATAAATCACAACTCAGCAAGGCTTGAAAATCTATAAACATTCCCAAAGTGGTTGTTTTGTGTCTGTGTGTGTGTGTGTGAGTGTGTGCGCGGGCACGTGCCTTCCAGGGTACTTCCAACCATTGCCCCTAAAAGTCAAATAATATTGGACTAACAAAAAAAATTAAGTTGTGATTTGTTAAAATTAAGGTTTCCCATTTTATACACACTTTTTAAAAATAGGTTTTGTGTTACATTTTTACATCAAGTGCATGTAGAAGCAGCCCACTTAACAGACAAATGTAACCCAAACTGAATTTAGGTATAATATATTTTCTCACCCAAGACAATATAGAATCCATCAATACCTGTCATGGAGCTGGTACCTTTCTCGTACTTCTTCCAAAATGATTCTCTTAGGTCCCTCTCCTCCAATTATGAAATTTAAATCTGGATATTTCTGACAGAGTTCAGGTATTATACCACTAAGCAAATCAGTCCCTGAAAATATAAAATAAAGTTGAATGTTGGAAATTGTAACATTTAAACTTAAAAAAAAAAAAAAAACATCAGAACTGAGAAACCACTCACTTTGAAAAGTATTAGCTATGCCCTAAGTAGAGAAACTAACTCTCAAACCTTTCCTGGGAAGGTGGAGTGTCCAAACTACCAGCGGTATCCTGAGTTGCAATTCTTAAAGATACATACATTGACATCCATTGCTACCCGATACCTGGACTATTCTGTTTCATTCTAACATAATATTCTTTAAGTTATTCACTTGTGTTTACGCATCACCTACTTCTAAAAAAGGTATTTGACGTAACTAACATTTAAGTTTTCTACAGAGCCTGACAGCTGACTGGAGATCTAGGTCTCGTCCCAGCCGTTTCATGAGCAAGTTCCTTGATTGTGGGAAAGTTTTCCGATATAGAAAACGAAGAGACCAGATGTACGTGAAGTCCAAGGTCTCTTTCAGCTACAAAATTTCTACATGTATTCCACTTCCCACCACAGGAAGGGGCTAAGCAACAAAGTATAACTGCAGCCTCCACTTTGTTGAGAAGGCAGTACATACAGAGGATCTTGTAAAGAACGAACGCAATAGTATTAGCCAAATTTAAGAGCAGTCCATCCAAACCTGCCGTACATAGCCCACTTCCCTTGAAGGAGAGTGCACGAAGGTGGCAGGACCTCAACTGCCAGATCATTACAGTCCAGAGAACAAAAGGGTGCATCTTGGTTCTTTTGTTTCTTTAATGAAATACTTTACGTAAACACAACCTCGGGGCAGAAAGCAGTAACATAAACCACGCCCTACCAGTCTGGAAGTGGCCATCTAAAGGGACAGCAACGCTGACACTATTCGGTAACAACTATCAATTGGACACATTCAAAAGTAAAAGTAAATGTAAAATAACCCAGTTAAAGTTTATTAAGAAATGCATACATACACAAGCACATACATAAGAATTGCACTTTTTCTATCAATCTTCCCAAATACAGGCAGATGAATTATAAAAAAAGATGGTGGGAGAAATCATTTATGCGGGGTCATTTTTATTAAATAATTCAAAGTAAGGATTTAAGTAAACTCGGCCAGTATTTTCAAAATATGATTGCATTAGCAAACATAAATTCACATGCAGCTTTTCTGAATTGTGAAGGTTTCTCATTAAAATCTTAGCTATCTTTGTTTCGAGACAATTACGAAATCCATCAACTGGATTTCTACATAAACCAGGTGGCTTAACGACTTTTAACGTTTACCTTCCTTTAATTCTTTCATTTTCTTTCTTTCCTTTCCTTCTCCCTTCTAATACAAAGGTTAAGAACCCATTCTTCAAATGAAAAATGCAACACATATGGAGTAATAATCATAACTGCTGATAACAACTAACATTTACTGAGTGGTTACTACATCGGTCTATGTCCCTTAAGTGCACTGTCATTTAATCCTGACAACTACCTTATAAGAAACAGAAGTGATTAATATTATCAGTGATCTATAACATTATTCTAAGAATAAAAGGTTTTCCCAAACAATAAGATACTCTCATGCCTCTAAGAGGAGTCTAACACAATGGAACATACAAAAGGGCTTTCAATTGCCATAGTCACACAAAATGGACAAAGAAAAATCATGATTCAAACTGCTTTTAAAGCACAGTCTAACAATATTTCAAAGAATCTAATCAATCTACATATACCTAGAGGCTGGGCCAGAGGTGAGGGGAACAGGAGACCTTAACTCAAGAGCTGAACTCATGTTTGTTATCTCTGATACTTACTGTGTAACCTGAGCGAGTTACTTACCCTCTCTGAGACTCAGTTTCTTTGTCTGTTACATGCAGATAACATCTACCCTACAGTTGTTGGGTCAAGTGAGGTACTGTACCATGCACAGGCTTTATCAACTGCAGAATATAAATGGAAGTTGTCATTACCACCACAGCAGGAAGTGGGGTGTGCCTGCACATGCACAGGAGCACCGGGAAACCCTGACTGAGAGCAAAACAGGCTCTAGAGGAGGAAGAAGGCAGCCAGAAAACCTGGGTGATAAGAACTGGGACTTATCCTCTCTCTCTCTCAATACGTGGCAGTGGGCCTTTGAGAACTGGTCCAAAGGAACACCTCCTAAGGAAATTAATTAATTAATAAGTAACGGACCATAAATACACGCTACTCACTTTTGGGCTACGGATGTGGCCGTTCCTTCTGAGAATGTTACTTTTTGCACGGTGCCTGGCATATGGAGAGGGTTCAATATTTGTCAAAGTAGTGAATTTGAGAACATGACAGGCCATACCTTCACTCTGTGGCTGGTGGTTAGCTCAGCTGGTTAAAATACCATCACTAGTGAAGTAAAGGTAACAGGTTTAATCTTTGTACAAATAGTTCATTTTGCTCTGATCCTCGACCATGCGTGCATCATACGCTTGCTCGGCTAGCTATCTCATGAAGGTACACTGTGTGATTAAAAGACAAACTAGGCACATTTTCTAAGTTACAACAAACACATCACCAATATCCCAAAAGGGATTCAGAACAGAGAATGCTGGTCCATTCACATCTTCTTGATTCAAGAATGAAAGCACATCACGAGAGCATGCCTTCACCCAGAAAACGCAGTTCAGCGGTTTTCCCACCAACCTCTGCTTAAGTGGATTGCTGGATCAACCAAGGCTCTGTTCCAAATATAAAGCCTACTGACCAAGGCCCATGCGTGGATTTCAGGCCGCTCCCTAGCACACCGGGACGCTGCCGATCCCACTGCTGAGCTTCGTGCTTACCAACAATCAGCTGCATTTGTCCACGTGTCTGATGCCAGTTACACTTGTTATTGCATTGGGTAATTTAGTTCAACAGCACATAAACTGACAGAGTAAATTTCTATGAAACCAAGCTGAATGGTTCAAAATATCCAACAAAGCAAAGTCACGGAAAAAAGCTCTAGTCAGATTAGGGGGTATCTTAAACCACTGTATAAAATAAAAAAACAAGTTAAAAATCCCGAAGTACATTATTTCATATACCATTACGTTCTCACCCCACTTAAAAAAAAAAAAACCCAAACTAGCAACTATAAATTATGCTTTTCGAAGGAGATTGTGCCAGCTCCAAGTGGTAGACCAGTAGTCTTACGCCTGCAAGCCAACGTCAGACTGTTGGCAACTCAGTGCACGTTAATAACACTTTGAGTCAAACTCAAGTATTTAAGGAAGGGTACATGTTTTTTAATAATTCCCTACTTGAAGTGATAATTTTGATTACTGGACAGGTTTTCAAATACCATCCAGAAGACCAGTTAGGTTCTGAATAACCAGACTGTGCCAAGCTTCCAGTACACGAGGCTCTACGAATATGACTGCCGTGTCAAGTACTGCCGAGGCACTAAAATAAAAAAAAAAAAAAATCCTCCTTGGTAACGGCAGACGCTTATCAAAGACCAACTGGCCTAAGTACTTCAGAGGAACCAGCACCGAACCCTTACAAGATTCCCCTTGTTGCCCAAATCATACAAAGGAAAAAACTGAGACTCAGAGATGTTAAGTAGCTTGTCCTCAATCACACAACGGGATGCAGCCAGGATCAGACTCCAGGCCGTCTAATCCCCCTGCCTTCACCACTCCCCTGCCTACACGTTCTTAATGTCTAAATCGGTGACTAAATGAAATAGGCAAGCCGCAAAACAGCCCCATGTGGGACGAGCTCACTGATTTTGAGGATATGCATAAAACACAGGAGAGTTGTAAATCAAAATATTCCTAAGGGTCATCCCTGAATAGTACAGTTACAGCTGATTTTAATTTTCACCCCTGTGCTTTTTCTGAGTTTTTAAAATACCTGCAATGAAAGACATGACTTTTGCCATCAGAAAGAACGGACTACATGGTGGGCTCAGCCTTTTACTTCTTACCACACATACACAGCTGTTTTAACTTTAAAAAGACCTGACCTATTAAACAACATCAGATTACGGTTTTTATTTTTAAGTAACTCTTAAAGCATCAAAGGTGGAGGGGGGAAGCATTCACCACCGTTCCAAAATTTTTTTTGGATGTATAAGACAATATTAGACCTTTCTTTGCTATATTTAATGCAGAGGTAGTTATAAAACCACAGAACAAAACGAAAAGCCAATCATTACATTCAAGTATTCAACAGCTTTCTACAAGAAAAAAAAAAAGTCTGTGCAGTGCAATTGTAGCTATCATTTCATTACCTTTTCTGTAAACAAGTCTGCTGACAACAACAATAGTTATTATACTATCATGCCTTCTAAATGGTTCTGGAGTGAAGTCAGTAGGATCTACAGCATTAGGAATGACGGACACTATTTCAGGATTCAGTGCTGCTCTTAGCACAGTGTTTTCCTTACTAGTATAAGAGACACAAATTATGTGGTTTGTGTCACAGAGAGACACAGTTAGAAGCTTGTTTGTGAGCACCGAGCTGACATCAGCAAATCCGAAAAGGGAATGGTCCGTGAAGACTGTCTGGAGCCCCATTGTCTTGGCGTGGAAGAGGGCATCATGGGCCATGGCAGAAAAAGAACTATGTGAATGGATTATCGTGACTCTCTCCCGAACAAATATGCACCTGAGCAACGGCAGACTATGAAAGAGGGTCGTGGCTGTAGATTGGTTGTACATGACTTTCAGAGGCAAGTAATAGACTTTGAGGCCATTAGTGAGGTAACGGATGCCTTTCCGATTTCCATAAGCATGGGTGACAATGATCACTTTGTGCCCTCTTTCAATCAGGCACTGAGAGAGCTGATAAATGTGGCTTTCCACGCCTCCCATGTTAGGGTAGAAAAAGTCCGACACCATGCATATGTTATGGGTGCGGGTCCTACATGTCGAGAGACTTCCAGGGCTAACACGGGAGCGCACAGCTGAGGGAGGCTGGCCATGCCCACCCGCTCCTCTATAGGCCATGCTGAGATGGTTTAGGCATCTGTCCTCAGAGCAACTCAGCTATGTGTCGTCTAGTACCTGAAAGAGAGAGTAAAACAAGAGCTCAGCTCAGAGACAAAATACATTACCTTTTTCAAATCCAGATATAAACACTGTTTTATGCTAATGTAAATTTAGCTTTCCCCCGAGAAATAAAACACAAGCATATAATGAAATTACTCACCTGACATTTACTTGCTTAGTATTTACTGTGCTATACAACAAAACTAGATTCCACAATGCCCTTACATTTTAATTTTGCTTTAAAAATACTGCTACACATAATTTTTAAAGATTAGTTTGTTACATCACAGTACAGAAGAATGTGCTAACAAACCAGTTCATTCCAATAATTAAATATATGGTTCTTTCCAGAAAAAGTTTGCCAACCCTGCTCTAGAGCTTAGCCACTGATGCAACGAATCTCATACAATTTTGCTATTCACTTTGTGGCTTATACTAAAATATACCTGGAGCTAGAAGTGTCTTTTTTGACAGTAGCTTTTTCAAGTATCTCCTACAGCACATGCTGCTGACATCCATCTACGTTTTCCTCTTCCTTATTCAAGGAGGGCGATAAACTGCTTTCATTTTCTTAACCTTTCTTTCAGTTACGTAGGCCTTTCTTCCAGAAGTGTCCCTCTCTTTGGTTTGAAGTCTAAAGATAAAGGCTCAATTCGAGATGGACTGGATCTGGGGCCATTTTCTACATCTAAAGTAGGAAATATTGATCTCAGGGGTCCTCTAGATCCTCATCAGCACAAAATGCCTACTCAGTATTCAGCAGTATCACAGATTCTTACTTTTAAAGCTAAAGTGTCCTGGAAAGCTAGTGAAAATCTTCCTCAGATTGACAAACGAGATCTCCACACTTCCGGAAACTGAACTATAAAATGAAAAGCCATCCTAAGGTCTGAGTTTCTGATTTCACCTGCAAGCTCAGGAAATGCAAAGGAACAGCCTGTGTAAACCCTTAATTATCTCTTCTTGCCAACAAAGTCATCTATATTTTAAATATATTCTCAGAAATACTCAGCAAGTGTTTGTTGACCTGAATTTACCAATTAAGATTCAAGATTACCAAATATTGCGATTCTTCAGTTTTGTACTTTTAAGTGGTTTCAGTAACATTTTCTTACTGTGGTTTGTCACCTAAACCTGAATTTTCAGTTGTATTCAATTTAAAAATATGAGTGATTAAAAAAAAAAAGAGTAAAGAACCACATGAAATTATCTGAAGTTTTGTCATTAACCTGCAAACGTTCTGTGAGGAGTCAGCCTACTTCCATCGGGTTATCACACCTAACATCTTTATGGCGTAAAAGCTGAACAAACGGAACAATCACAGAATCTTAGATTTTAAAGCCGACGAGAGGCTTGGAGATCCAGGAATACCTCCCTTGCTTTACAAATGAGAAGCCGAACAAGTTGAGCGATTTGCCCAAGGTCTCCTCCCAGCCACTAAAGTGGCAAATGCGAGACGGCCGTAAATTTACACCCACCCACGGCCAACGAGTCCCTGGGCAGTCAGCAGCAGAGGCGCTCAAGGAGCTTTACGGAGACCGGCGGGGGCGTGGGTCAAGAGGACGGTGCTTCCACACCCACACGCTGGGCAATTCCCCGGCTTCACTCACTGAGAGGTCACCGGGGAGCGCCAGGGCCAAGGCAGGGACGACCCCGCTCAATCAGCGGCCCCGCTGGAGTCAAGCAGGGTCTCGCCAGGCCCAAAAGGAGGAAGATGGCCAGACAGTGGGCAGGGGTCTGAGGCTGGGGGTCCCAGAGCCCTTCACCCTGCCCGCCTCAGTCTCGGCGGAACCGGCTCCAGCGCGGCCGCCCCAGCGCACCCTCAGCCCCACTCGACTCCGGAGGCTCTCGACCCCGACTTCCGAGCTTCTAAGCCTCGCCAGGTTCGCCCCTTCCATCGCCGGCCACACTCCCACGGGTGCAGCCCAATCCCATCCGGAAGCGGCCGAGAGTGCCGGCGCAGGGTCAGACGCGCACTTACCGGCGAGTCCCATGGCCGCCAGTGTCCGGACCTCCCGCGGCTGCAGCCAGAGTCCCACCCCGCTACCCCGAAACACCAATCCGGGGCGTCCGCGCCCGAGCGCCGCGCCCCCGAGGCGGCCAATCGCAAAGACGCGCTGGCGTCACGTGCAGGAGCGCCGCTCAGTCCCCACCCTTCAGCGCGGGATGTAACGTCAGCGCGCGTAGGCACATGTTTTCGCAATGTTCGGGGAGACTAGTTTTCTCGGCATCGAAAGTAGTAATCCTCGGTTTAACCTTTTAGATGAATTCTTAGTGTCTCGAATCTCTAGAAACCGTCCCTCGTCTCTTCTGACACAAGCAGCCCACCAGGAGCCTTCCTCAGGGTAAAGTCAGAAATCCCAGCGTGACTCGCAGCGAGCCTTTAGGGCTGCTGGGAGTTGTAGTCTGATGGCCTTTGGAGGCGAAGCTGAACTTAAGAAAACTCACTCCCAGGATGCACCGCACTTCTAAACCTGAATTCTGCGGAATGTCGGGTGGGTTCGCGTCTTGGTTATCTAGTTACGGCGTCTCTTTTTCTGGAAGCCCGTTCTCGCTGGCTTCGAATTGGAGAGACTTTTGGGGCGGAAGGCTACCGGGGTCGTGGTGCCGTTGTGTTTGTGGTTATCTTGTGCCGCAGCAAAACGATGCTTGTTCTTAGCCACCCTGCTAGGGTTGCCTGATGTAGCAAATGAAAATACACAGATAAAGAGTAAAATAAAATCAAATTTTATAAAAATTTGAATTTCCTATAAATACTCTTTATACAAGTATATCCCAAACATTGGAGACTTTACTAAAAAAATTACTCGTTGTTGATCTGAAATTCAAACTTAACTGGGTATCTTGTATTTTATCAGGCACCCTGAAGAAAAAAAATCTCAGGTCTGACCTGAAATACCAATTCCCACTCAACCTGGTTCAACTGGTTATGGTGGTGCTTGGCCAGGAGGCTAATGAATCCGTGGAAGTGATCTGATGGCCCTCCACCCCTTCCATTTGGTGCTTGGAGGTCCCCCAGGTACGCCAGGCGTACACTTTCAAGAGCAGATGCCTTCCTGAGCTCTATCACTGGCACCCCATTTAAGCCTGTACAAAGCCTATCCCCTGAAGATTTCAGCTCCTTTCTGATACCCTCCCCAAGCCTCCAGAGGGAATTGGATCCTCTTTTGTATTTTGATAGTACTTTGGCCGTATGCTGGTATAGCAGTTATCAGGTGATAGTCAAGTTGTTTGCCTGGCTGCCAGCCCCCATCCCCCTCAACCTGATTCTCGAAGGCGGGTCTTCTTGGGATCTCACATGGACTTCTTTCTGAAAACTGGCAATTGAATTTTCTTGTTAAATGTCTGCCCTCCTGGCCAGATAGTAAGCAGAGGCAGGGTTTGTTCCTGGTAATAGACATTGAATAAGTTTTAATTGTATTAATGAATTTTTTTTTATCTAATACCAATACAGTCCCAGTACAAACATATTATATACCCAATAAAATGTATTAAAAATATTTTATGGAGTGTGCCATATAAAAATTACAGTTCAGGGGTGCCTGGGTGGCTCAGTCCATTAAGCGTCTGACTTTTGGTTTCGACTCACGTCTTGATCTCATGGGTCGTGCAATTGAGCCCAGCGTCCGGCTCAGCAGTGGGGGTTGGGCGGGGGGAGTCTGCTTGAAGATTCTCTCCCTCTGCCCCTTCTCTCTCTCTCTTTCTCTCTCTCTCCCTCCCTCCCTCTAAAACTAAATAAATAAATCTTTTTTAAAAATTACAGTTCAGTGATACAATTCAGAGCATTTTGATTGTAGGATTTGAAGTGTATCAGTGAGTTAACTTTAATGAGTTAAAGTTATTTAAGTCAAGTAGGAATAGATACGCTGCACTAATATTGAAGCATCAGAGAATAAAGATAATGAAGGCTCAAGGATACTTATTCAAGCTTAAATAAGTTGCAGTTGGTTGCCCAGATCGCACCAACACCACCAGATGCTTCAGCATTGCTTTGGTCTCCTTTTCATTTTTGCAATAGGTTTTAAGACACAGGGTGTGGGCAGAGACCCTGGAAAGTATAATAAGCCCATTTCTTTTTTTTAATTGATTTTTTATTTTTTATTGTTATGTTAATCACCATACATTACCTCATTAGTTTTTGATGTAGTGTTCCATGATTCATTGTTTGTGCATAACACCCAGTGCTCCACGCAGAATGTGCCCTCTTTAATACCCATCACCAGGCTAACCCATCCCCCCAACCTCCTCCTCTAGAACCTTCAGTTTGTTTTTCAGAGTCCATCGTCTCTCATGGTTCGTGTCCCCCTCCGACTTCCCTTCATTCAATAAGCCCATTTCTTGATCTCCTGGTTTGCCAGTGCCATAGTTCTAATCACAGTACCCATTTGAAATTCTAAGATCCTGATGCCAATACTCCTTCAAAAGAGTTGTGATCTTTCTTCAAAACAGAATATTTTCTACCTTTATCATCAAACATTTACTGAGTGCCGACTCTGTAGAAGACTTTGTGGGGAATACAAGGAATATTAAACATAGCCCCTATGTTTTAAAAGTTTTTTAAATCCTTCCTAGTTTTTATATACCTTTTGCCAATAGTAAAAAGCAATCCACTTTCCTTGAAATGTTCTTTGTGTTTTAAATCCTGTAGGATAGGCTGACCTTTATAAATAATTAATAAAGGCACACTGTTGCTGAGTCTCTGTGGCGGGGGAGAGGGCTGAGAAAACTACAGGCTGTTCCAGTGAACATAAGCCGGTCATAAGCAGGTATTTCTGGTGGCATTTCCAGCAAAAGTTGAAGCAAACTGGTGGAGGATCTTACTGAGGAAAATGGACTTGATGTGGAGCCAGACTTGCAGCCGAAATAATATTTTCAATTAATATCTTGAGATGATTCACTCCTCATTCTGCTTCAAAAAGAAAAAGAGATATGAGAAAATCAAAATGTTACAGCTGTGATTTCAAAAAGAACAAACATTTCCGTGTGCCAAAAGGAGAACCAAAATGCAAAATGGTA